GTAATATAGTTTTGTTAATTTTTTCTAGTTATTAAAATACGTGGTCATTATAAAAGTTTTAGAATTATAGAAAAATAGAAAATCCAGATTACTCAATCTCGTTATCCTGACATAGTAATTGACTTTTATTTATTTATTTATTTATTTATTTATTTATTTTGAGACGGGATCTCACTCTGTAATCGAGGCTGGAATGCAGTGGTGCGATCTCGGCTCCCTGCAAACTCTGCCTCCCCGGGCTCAAGCAATCCTTCCATCTCAGCCTTCCAGGTAGCTAAGATCAGAAATGTATGCCAGCACACCTGGCTAATTTTTTATATTTTTGCTAGAGACAAGATTTCACCATGTTGCCCAGGCTGTAATTGACTTTTGTTACTTTGTATCTTGAATAATTTGCTTTTGAAAAGTCATTGTATGGTATATCCCATCGGGTTTTGGTTTAAGAAAAATGGACTGCTGCTTATTCATAAGTGGAAGTAGAAGTGGGATTGACACAAATAATCCACACAGTGGCCAAATAAAAAATAATGCAGGGCCAGGTGCATTGGCTCATGCCTATAATCCCAGCACTTTTGGAGGCTGAGATGGGTGGATCACTTGAGATCAGGAGTTCAAGACCAGCCCAACATGGCGAAACCCTGGCTCTACTAAAAATACAAAAAAAGTTAGCTGGGTGTGGTGGCGTGGTGTGCATCTGTAGTCCCACCTACTTGGGAAGTGAGGCAGGAGAATCACTTGAACCCAGGAGGCAGGGGTTGCAGCAAGCCAAGATCGCGCCACTGCGCTCCAGCATGGGCAACAAAGTGAGACTGTCTCAAAAACAAACAAACAAATGTAATACAGGTTCAATATCCCTTATTTAAGGTGTTTTGGACTTCAGACTTTTTAGGATTTTGTAATATTTTGCATTATGTTGGTCGAGCAACAGAAATCCAAAGTGAGCATTTCATTTGAGCATCATGTCAGCACTCAAAATAGTGTTTTGGAATATTTCAGATTGAGAATAGTCTTACAATGTCAACCACAAGGCCAATATTTCTTTGCATTCTCCTGATTTATCTTAAAAGTTCATTTACCTTTTGTTTTCTAACCTCTTTGTGCTTACTGTATTATAAAATATTACAATAAATGTCATACCTCTGTGTAAAATACTCCAGGAAGCTGTGCCGCATTTGTCAAGTGACTTTAAATTCTCTCTGGCATATAGCTGCATCCCCTGGGGGTACATGTAAACCTAGTTTGAGAAACTTAGACTCTAAATATAGATGAATTTGTATTTTCTAAGAACATATTATTAAGTAAAAGAAGAAATCAGATGTATACTAGATTTTCAGAGATTATCAGTGGAGAGATATGGGACATTCCTTTGAGAGGAAAGTGTTGGAATCATTTGGAAGATTTTTTTTCAGATTTTTCCCTTCTCCCTTTCCAGTTTGAGAATTACTGCCACAGCTAGTCCCTGTTCTGATGGAAAAGTGCTTTCTTCCCCAATGATATTGGTGTATAAAAAAGAATGACAGGCCGGGCACAATGTCTCACACCTATAATCCCAGCACTTTGGGAGGCTGAGGCAGGTGGATCACCTGAGGTCAGGAGTTCTAGACAAAGCTTGGCCAACATGGTGAAACCTGCCTGTACTAACAAAAATTAGCTGGGTGTGGTGGCGCATGCCTGTAGTCCCAGCTACTCAGGAGGCTGAGGCAGGAGAATTGCTTGAAGCTGGGAGGCAAAGGTTGCAGTGAGCTGAGGTCGCGCCATTGCCCTCCAGCCTGGGCAAGAAAGTGAGACTCCATCTCAAGAAAAAAATAAAAATAATGAAAAATAAAAAACAGTGAGGACTATTCAAATTTAACAGACACACACACGCACACACACACACACACAGACACACATACATATATACATACACACACTACATATACTGTGTATACTATTCGAATGAATTACAAGGTAATTTTTATTCTAAAATCTATTTGACTAACTGAATTAGAGTTTTCTGGTTTTATTATTTATCATAGCCAAATGTGATGTAATGCATTCAGTTACCAAAAAAAGTGAGTCCTTGACTTGTCCTGTTTCTACTATTCCAGTCTGATGAAGGTTAGGATTGAGCGCCACCCTGCTCCCGAATTAGAATATTATTTGCTAGATTAGAAATGTTTTTCTCCAAAATATCTGCAGAGCTCTGCCCAGTCTGACCATTTGTTCCCACTAGGGTCCCTTTAAGTGCCTCAGTGCTTTTAGCTTTCCTGTTTCTTTTGTTCTGTGTCCTCTGTCTTTCTGTCTCCTGCTGCTGGTGTCTAATATCACCATCATGGTAACAAAGTGTTTCTAATTCGAGGTCCAATGCCATAGAATACATTTTCTAAGACATACAATACTGTGATAAATGTAAGAAAATAGTTCCCTGATAAAAGGACATCTGACATAAAAACTGCTTAGGATCGTTCCTGTTGCGGCACAGAACAGACAGAATTTAGCAGTGGCAGTCTAAGTGTTCACATAGCAAGGCAGGTGCTGCCTTCTCGATAGGGATTCCACCTTTCAGGAAGCATGCATCTCACTCTGTGAAAACCTATGAAAACCTTGATTTCAGAGTTAGGAGAGAAGGTCAAAGGTCTGGCACTTCAATTCCTGTATCCTAGATTCCAGTCCATCTTTATTTTCTCCTCTGTGTTTTCTACAGCCCTCTACCTCTGACATTTGGAGAATTCTAAGCTGTAACATAGGTAACTTACAGAAACAAAAATAGGACCCAAATAAAATTTCTTAGATTTTATAACCATGCCTTTTCCAGTTCCCTTTATCTTTTTCGTTTCTTTTTCTATATTGACAATTCTTCCTTTTGAGACTTAAATGGAAGATAAAGTCATGTGACTTAGTAAACATTATTACAAATAAAGATGTATTCTTGGAATGTTTTTAGAGTAAATATTATGAATAAGGTAATATATGAGACCTTGGAGACTTAATGATGAGATCAGACAAATATCAGCATCTTGGAGCTGATATAGTCTGGGTTGAAAGAGAGAGAAATTAATTAAATAATCAGAAATAACTATACATTTATAACTGATAACATTTGATCATCCTTCTTATTGAAATGGTTTCTTCACTTTTAGTCTAGATTACCATACTCTTGGTTTTCCTGCCTCACCGGCCACTCCTTTTTTGTTTCCTTTGCTGAGTCCTTCTCTTCTTTCACCTAAATACCGGAGTACTCTAGGCCATAGCCCTTGGATATTTTTGCTCTCTGTTCTCCCTCAATAATACCAGCTGGTTCAATGACTTTAAATAGCATCTCTCTTTTTTTTTTTTTTGAGACCAGAGTCTCGCTCTGTCACCTAGACTGGAGTTCAATGGCATGATCTCGGCTCATTGCAATCTCTGCCAGGCTCAAGCAATTCTTGTGCCTCAGCCTCCTGTGTGGCTGGGACTACAGGCATCTGCCACCAGTCCTTGCTAATTTTTGTATTTTTTGTAGAGAAGGGATTTCACCATATTGGCCCGGCTGGTCTTGAACCCCTGACCTCAAGTGAGCTACCCGCCTCAGCCTCCCAAAGTGTTGGGATTACAGGCATGAGCCATTGTGTGTGGCCAGTATCTCTTGATATCTATATGCTGATGACACCCAAATTTATATCTGCATTTTATATTCCTCCCTAAACTCAACCGCTTTCGATTTCACTGCATTGACCCAGTGGCTCAGGACAGAAATCTAAGGTATCTTTCATTCTTTCTTTACTTTCACAGACTTTGCTGTTCTCTCAGCAAAGTCTGTTGGCTATACCTCCAAATTATGTCCAATTCTTATCACCTTTACTGTTACCATACTGGTTCAGCTGACAGTAGTTTCTTAACTGGTCATTTGTTCCAAGTACCGTTATTCCCATCCCTGATTATGGCATCTGTTAACCACTAAATAACTGAAGTAACCTTTTTTTCTTTTTTTTTTTTTCTGGAGAAAGGATCTCACTCTGTCACCCAGGCTGGAGTACAGTGGCATGATCTCAGCTCACTACAGCCTCTGCCTCTTGGGGTCAAGTGATTCTCATGCTTCAGTCCCCTTTAGTAGCTGGGATTATAGGCATGTGCCACCACACCAGGCTAATTTTTGTATTTTTAGTAGAGACAAGGTTTCACCATGTTGGCCAGGCTGGCAAAGTAATCTTTTTAAGGCCTAAAACAGACCTGTGCAAAATCCTCCAATGAAGTGCCGATTTCAGGTATGGTGCAGGAAATGTACAAGATGAATCTCAGAGGATAGGATATTAAAAGAGTTACAGAAGGGATGAGAGAATGAAACTATAATCATAAAATTGGAAATGGTGCCTACTGACAGAAACAGTAAAGGTCTCTTATGAGATACTTCTCAAGATCATGTCAAACTTTAGGAATTTTAAAGACAAAAAATGAAATTATACAGAATTTATAAATCAAACTAATAGAGAAACTTTTTGATAATTTGTTTATGGAGACACACAAACATGTACACGCGTGTTTTAAGAATTTTTTAATCCTGTAAAAAAAATGGAGAAAAGCACAGTGAACTTCTATATTCTCCTTACCTAGACTGTTAATGCTGGCTACTTTCTTAGGTTGAAACATATAAAAAATGTCCTTGTTTTGTTTTGTTTTGTTTTGACAAATAAATGATAAAATGGATGGTTCAACTGAATGCACACTAACATATACACTTATACATGACACACATCCTTTAAACAAACCATCCAACAAACCATCTGAGAGTAGGTTATAGATATGAGGCTCCATTACGCATCTCTCAAAAACAGAAACATTCTACACAACTGAGAAAAATCAACATTAATTCATATCATCATCCACATATAGTTCTTATTCAGATTTCTCTATTTGAACCATCAGTTTTTAAAGAAAATCACATTACAAAATCATTTTGTGCATCTGGTGGGCTTTCTCTTACAGAATAAAGTGACTGTGTTTACTGTTCACTTACTCTAGCTTTTTTCTTTGTGGTTTAGCTTCTTACATCCGTGTTTGACAATAGCATCAAGACTTTTGGAGTAATTGAGAGTGATCCTTTTGACTGGGAGAAGACTGGAACTGATGGCTCCCTAACAACCATCACTACTTCTACCACCCCTCAGTTGCACACTCGCTTGACCCCTGCTGCAATTGGGTATGTCCTAAACAGATCATTTGGTAGTGTCTTTTTCTGGATACATTATATTTGCAAAAATTTATTTCATCCAGATTCCCTCAGATGACCAAATGCTAAGACATCTGAGAGGGCCTATGGATTTCCTTGAATTAACATTGCTCTTATGTACACTTTTGGAATTACTTGCTTTAGATAATACTAATCGATTACACTGTGAAATGGGAGCTTACAGCTTATGTGACTGTTGATGTCAAATTTATCACACATTTTCTTCAAAATGAGAAGTAGCATTAGTTATGTTTCCAAATAATACATAAGACCCTGAAAAGAATGTGCCACAATCATATCTAACTATACTGTGGTAAAGTTTACTGGGAACAAAGCATGTAGCATATTCCTCTTAAAGATTTAACTTTCATAATATATTAAGAAAAGGTTGTGGTCTATTTCTGTTATCTTAGTTTTTTATTGTTAATGTTTTTTCCTCTACAGGTATTACATATAGTTCCTTTGGTCCTTTATTTTATTTTGTTTTTTGATTTGTCTTTCTTATTTTTCTAATTTTGTTACCTGCTTTGGTTGTTTAAAACTTTTTGGTCAAAAAAAAAAAAAAAAAGTAAATACCCAGAATGCTGAGGCAGAAGGCTCACTTGAGCCCAGGAGTTAGAGGCTGTAGTGAGCTATGATTGTACCACTACACTCTAACCTATGCAATAGAGTGGGACCTGTCTCTGAGGAAAAGAAAGTAAATAGTAAATAGGGAAAAACTGTCATACAATTTAAGTTAATTGGGACATTTTACCACTAATCCATTGCTTTTATTTTTTATTCATTTTTAACACAGAGTTTCGCTCTTGTTGCCCAGGCTGGAGTGCAGTGGTGCAATGTCAGCTCATTGCAACCTCCACCTCCTAGGTTCAAGTGATCCTCCTGCCTTAGTCTCCCAAGTAGCTGGTATTACAGGCCTTTGCCACAATGCCTGGCTAATTTTGTACTTTTAGTAGAGACGGGGTTTCACTATGCGCGATCTCGGCTCACTGCAACCTCTGCTTCCTGGGTTCAAGTGATTCTCCTGCCTTAGCCTCCCAAGTAGCTGGTATTACAGGCCTTTGCCACCATACTAGGCTAATTTTGTATTTTTAGTAGAGACTGGGTTTCACTGTGCTGGTCTCAAACTTCTGACCTCAAGCAATCTGCCTACCTTGGCCTCCCAAAGTCCTAGGATTACAGGCGAAGGGGAAGTTGTGTGAAAGAGGAGGAAAAGAGAAGGGAGAACTTGAAGAAGGTAATTAACAGGCAAAAATGGTATACAGGTTGAGCATCCCAATTCTGAAAATCGAAAATCTGAAATCTCAAAAAAAAAAAAAAAAAAAAACCCAGCGGAAAACAAAAAAACATAGAACTAGAGCATTTAAAAAGGTTTAGTCCAAAGATAGGTATTAGAACAAAAAGGTGAACCTTCTGAAATAATCCCCAAAATTATCTGTAAATTAATTTTGTGTTGCTAAGGCCTTGCATGTAGTAGGTGCTTAGTAAAAAGTCTGCAGTTGGGTGGACATGGTGGCTCACACCTGTAATCTCAGCACTTTGGGAGGCCCAGGTGGGTGGATCACTTGAAGCCAGGAGTTTAAGACCAGCCTGGCCAATGTGGCAAAATCCCATCTCTACTAAAAATACAAAAAAATTTAGCTGGGCATGGTGGTGCATGCCTGTAGTTGCAGCTACTTGGGAGGCTGAGGCAGTAGAATCACTTGAACCCGGGAGGCAGAGGTTGCAGTGAGCTGAGATTGCGTCACTGCACTCCAGCCTGGGAGACAGAGCATGACTCAGTCTCAAAAAAAAAAAAGTCTGCAAGTGAAAAAGTAATACACATTTCACACATAAAAAAAAGCTGATTGATCTGACACCCGTTTATTTCATTATGGCACTGTGAAAGTTGATTATACAAATTAGGTCATTCTTGTCATATTCAACTAAATCAATCAAGAGGCGGGCTGAGGCGGGAAGCACTTGGGCACATAGCACCTGCTCCAAGAATTTAATTTCTTACAAGCCCAGCTGCTGAAATGGCCTGCTGTGACTCTAAGACTAAATTTACATACCCCTGTCACTCACCAGTCAGAGCCTGCCAGCTCCCGAAAGCTTCTCTAGTGCCAATGAGCTTTCTTTCAAAACAGTATGTAACATTTCTCTAATAAAACCCACAACCTCTTCTTTAGTCTTCAGGCATACCAGAGACCCACCCAGTCTGTGTGTACCCCAAATTGTAATTATTGCTTCCCAAATGAAATGTTACATTTGGAGATTCATCTGTATATTTTGAGTTCAACAGCCCTTAACATTTTCCTGTTCTATAACAGAATGGGCATAGTGGCTTACACTTATAATCCCAGCACTTTGGGAGGCCAAGGCGGGCAGATCATCTGAGGTCAGGAGTTCAAGACCAGCCTGCCCAACATGTCAAAAACCCGTCTCTACTCAAAATATGAAAAATTAGCCAGATATGGTGGCAGGTACCTATAATCCCAGCTACTCAAGAGGCTGACGCAGGAGAATTGCTTGAACCCGGGAGGCATACGTTGCAGTGAGCCTAGATCATGCTACTGCACTCCAGCCTGGGCGACAGGAGTGAAACACCAACTCAAAAAAAAAAAAAAAAAAAAATTCCCTAACAAAAATGGGTAAAGATTAGAAAATGTTGTTATCATTGACAAAAACTTCTGGAAAATTGATGAAATGTTTCTTACAAAGTGATTGTCAAATTAGTGTGTTATTGTTTTAGAATTTATATTTTTAAATTAGCTTGGAAATTCTAATTGATTAAAATTTTGAAGTTTTATTTTGTAGGACTGACGTGACTTAAATTTTCTTTTCTTTCTTTCTTTTTTTTGATCTGGAGTCTCGCTCTGTTGCCTAGGCTGCAGTGCAGCGGTGCGATCTCAGCTCACTGCAACCTCTGACTCCTGGGTTCAAACGATTCTCCTGCCTCAGCCTCCCAAGTAGCTGGGATTACTGGCACCCACCACCATGCCCGGCTAATTTTTATATTTTTAGTAGAGATGGGGTTTTGCCACATTGGCTAGGCTGGTCTCGAACTCCTGACCTCAGATGATCCACCCACGTCTGCCTCCCAAGTGCTGAGACTACAGGCGTGAACCACCGTGCCCAGCCAACTGAAGTTTTTAAGGGGTTTTTTTTTTTTTTTAAACTTGTTATGTGTGGACTTTATTTCAATGAAGAAACAAAATGATGTAAGATAGTCTCATAGTAATTTTTGATTCTGATCTTTTAAAGTTCTGCCCTTTTTTTCCCCTCCCTTTATATTTAGAATTGCCAATGCCACTCCCATCCCAGGAGACTTGCTTCGAGAAAATACAGATGAGGTATTTCCAGATGAACAGCTTAGTGATGGAGAAAATGGCATCCCTGTTTGTGTGTCACCAGATAAATTGCCTGGATCTCTGGGACAGCCTCGTCCCCAGGAGAAGGATGTTTGGGAAGAGATGGATGCCAACAAAAACAAGATAAAGTTTGGAATTTGTAAGGTATGATACCTTATAAACAACAGAAATGTATTTCTTACAGTTCAGAATGCTGGGAAGTCCAAGAAGGAAGGCTAGGCAAATTTGGTGTCTAATGAGAGCTGTTTTGTAGCTCCTCCTTGCTGAGTCCTCATGTGGTAGATGGGGAAAGGGGATTCTGTTGGGCCTCTTTTTTAAGGACACTGCTCTCATTCATGAGGGCTCTGCCTTCTTGACCTAATTACCTCCCAAGGGGCCTACCTCCTAATACCCTCACATTGGGAGTTAGGATTTCAGCATGTCAATTTTTGGGGGACACAAACATTCAGACCATAGTAGGTGTATATCTTCAGTCATGGGAGTCATTTGCAAAATGTTCTCTGCATAGATGTGATGTGCCACCGTGTCATCTGGCTGTTGACAAAGCACGGTCTGGACCAATAGTAATCAGGAATGAGTAGTGAAAAGTAGACAGGGAGTCAATGTCAGATTTTTGTAGTATCAGCTGCGGCTGGCTTTATGGCAACAGGAACAAACTGTTCTTATAGCAAAAAAATCGCTAGTGACATTCTCAGTTGTCAGCCCATATGGATATCTCTGTATGTGACAGAATGAAATGGCACTTGACATAGAAGATCTTAGTTATTTTAGTTTCTGTCTTTTACTATTTAATCTCAGTGAAATTTGAATGATAGTTTTGACCCAAAGTCCATTGTTTATTATAATGGTTATGTGAAGTTTATTAAATTTATAATGTATAGTGCTATACATTACAAGCTCTCATTTAGAACATCTGGATAAAGCATTAAGCTAAATATTGAAGACAATTTACTAAGATAGGTGCTGTGCAGTTTAAGATACATCTTTTACCTTTAAGGAGCTTACAGTCTGTTCAGGTAGATAATTATCTGCACAAGCAAATATAATACAAGACAGAACATTGTGCAAAACATTAAAAGGAATTAAAATGCATGCAGATGGGGTGGGAGTTGGGGACATGCCTTATGGAAAAAGTGGTTTAAGTAGAAGTATAAGTAAAAATATGTGCAGGAGGGCTGAGCACCATGGCTCACATCTGAAATCCCATCACTTTGGAAGTCAGGAGTTCAAGACCAGCCTGGCCAACATGGTGAAACCCTGAATCTACTAAAAATATAAAAATTAGCTGGGTGTGGTGGTAGGTGCCTGTAATCCCAGCTACTTGGGAGGCTGAAGAAGGAGAATCGCTTGAACCTGAGAGGCAGAGGTTGCAGTGAGCCAAGATAGTGCCACTGCACTCCAGCCTGGGTGACAGAGTGAAACTCCATCTGAAAAAAAAAAAAAAGAAAAAAATTAAAAAAAAAATAATATATATAAAATATTGTATGTATGTATATGAGAAAGTGCATGGATAGAGCTTGTAACTTTAGGAATTTATTGGTCATCTAGGCGAGAAATTCAAAACAACTATATTTATCTTTTAAAGTCTACTTATACTATATATAAAAGTTTATATATCATTTCAAAGCATAGTAATGTAAGCATGTGAATCCACCATCTGCCCCAAGAACTAGAATATTTTAACATATTCCTTCTATATTTATGCTTCTACCCTATCCCCACTGAGGTAACCACTGTCTTAGGTTAGATTCCATAAAAGCGGAGCCACAAACCTTAATAAATTTAAATAACTGAAATCACACATAGTATGTTCTCTGACCATAATGGAATTAATCTAGTAATCAGTGACATAAAGACAACAGGAAAATTTCTAAACACTTGGAAATTATACAGCATATTTCTATATAATCCATGGGTCAGAGAGGAAGTCTTAAAGGAAAATTTTTTAAACTTACATAGAATTGAATGAAATTGAAACTACAACATATCAAAATGTTTGGGAGGCAGCTAAAGCAGTGCTGAGAGGGAAATGTATAGCACTAAATGCTTACATTAGGAAAGATAAGGTTTTACATCAATAGTCTAAATCCTACCTCAGGAACCTAGAAAAGGAACCAGCAGAATGAACCTGAGACAAGCAGAAAGAAGGTAATAAATATCTCAGTTACTGTATTGCAAAGTTTTGGTATGTTATATTTTCATTCACCTTCTGTTTTAAAACTTTTCCCATAATGATTTTTTTCCTCCATGAGTTATTAAGTGCATACAAGTTCAGAATTTTTATATCTGCCAGGTGATTAAAAGTTTTGTTTTTCTTTATTTAGTGATTATTTGTATTCTATTCCTACTATATTTTTCTAGTATTAAAGCTTATTTTGTTAATACAATTATGCCAGCTTTCTTTTGGGTATCTTTTTTCTTCCTTTGGTGTATCTTTTTTCCTCCTTTATCTTTCCATTTTTTCTTACTTGTATTCTTCTGTTGTGACTTTTGTTAAGTGGAATATAAGTGGACAATCTTACATCTTTATGTTTTAATTGCTCAGCTTTATTTGTTTAAATTTAGAATTATTATTATTATTATTATTATTATATTATTTATTTAGTCAGAGTCTCACCCTGTCACCAAGGCTGGAGTGCAGTGGTGCAATCTTGGCTCACTGCAACCTCCACCTCGTGGGATCAAGTGATTCTTGTGCTCTAGGCTCCCAAGTAGCTGAAACTACAGGCGCCTACCACCACACCTGGCTAATTTTTGTATTTTTAGTAAAGATGGGCTTTTGCCACTCTGGCCAGGATGATCTCAAACCTCTGACCTGAGGTGATCTGCTTGCCTTGGTCTCCCAAAGTGCTGGGGTTACAGGCATGTGCCACGGGGCCCAGCCTTGGATTACATTACTAATGTTGTTCTTTTATACAAGTAATGTTTATATGGACTTTCAAAGATGTTTACCATTTTATTTCATTTCTGAAAGTCTTTGGCTCATCTTTCTTCCTGAAATATTTCCTTTAGAAGTTCCTTTACTTCAGGTCTTTTGGTAGAGGATTCTTTCTATAAATGTATTTACTTATCTGTAAATGTATTTATTTTAGCTTCATTCTTTCAAGATAGTTTATGCTAAATGTAAAGGTTTTTTTTGTTGTTGATGTTTGTCTGTTTTTTGAGACAGGGTTTTGCTCTGTTGCAGTGGTGTGATCTCAACTCACTTCAACCTCCACCTCCTGGGTTCAAGCGATTCACCTGCCTCAGCCTCCTGAGTGGCTGGGCCCACAGGCACGTGCCACCATGCCTGGCTATTTTTTTTTTTCTTAGTAGAGACAGGGTTTCACCATGTTGGCCAGGCTGGTCTTGAACTCCTGGCCTCAAGTGATTCACCCACCTTGGCCTCCCAAAGTGCTGGGATTACCAGCGTGAACCACCAAGCCTGGTCCAAATATAAAGTTTTTGATTGATAGTTATTTTTCCTCTGGCTTCAGTCATTGGTGTTCAGAAACTGTCATTCTAATTATTTTGTTTCTTTTAAAGTGATCAGTTCCCCCACCTTCATCTTTCCTTCCAGCTACTTTTTAGTTCTTGTTTTTGTCTGTGGTGTTCTGCATTTTAACTATGATGCTTCTAGGCAATATTTCTTTTTGTTTATCTTGCTTGGGATATCTCGTGTTCCTTGAACATTTTTATTCATATTTTTGTATAAGTTCTGGGAAATAACAGCCATTCTCTATCTAAATGTTACTACCTCTTCATTCTTTCTATTATCTCTTTCTAGGACTATAGATATATTATGCCTTTTTATTGTATCCATCATATCTCTTAATATCTTTTTTCATAATTTTCTTCTTGTTTTTTATTCTAGGTAATTTCTTTGGCTATGTCTTCCACTTCACTGATTAATAATTTCAACTTATTTTTTTGCTAACTTGCTGTTTAACTTGTTAATTGAATATTTAATATTCAGTTAATCATCCAAATAACCCTTTGTTGATCTTTGTTATAATGGCCTTTATTTATTTAAACATTTATGCATAGCTGGTCTATATTTTGTATCGAAACCAGTTCAATATCTGAAATCGTTGGGAGTTTTAAATGTTTTTCTTCGTTTTGATTATTTCTGTTGTGTCAGTCATGGTAGCATGCTTTCTCATGTGTTGATTCTCTTTTTTTTTAAGTTAATTAATAATTGAAATCATTGATAGGAGTTCTGTAGACTTAACTGGGATTTGGGGAAACCTTCCTTTAAAGAAGACTGGCATGTGTTTCTGCTGCTACCCAGAGTGTATCACCTATTTGACCCAATTGGGGATCCTCTTAAGGGTCTGTAATCAGAATAGATGTCCCAGACTTCCCTCTGTCACCATACTTCTGCTATAAAGCTTAATTGCGCTGATAATTGTGTTCCATAGGCACCTGGCTTTAAACAGTCCCACTCCCTGGGCTACCTTAGCTCCTAATAGTCTGGCCCCAGGCTTTTCGTTGTTTTGTTTTTTAGAGGCGGGAATGAGAAAAGGGGTATAGCGACTCAGGCTTGGTGTCCTCTCCTAACTTGTGAGACCACTTACGTCTCAAAGAGAACATCCTTTCCAGGTTTCAGTTTTAGGTTAGTGGAATGGGGTCCCACAAGCGTTAAGTCAGACATAATTCAGAAGGCTAAGTCTGTTAAACATTTTTAGACTGTTTATCTTTGTGCCAAAAATATTTTTAAAGGCTAAAATAATACTAAAACTGACTATAAATTAAGAAAACACATTTAATGAAGAGTTAATAGATAAGAATATAATGAAGTAAACTAGTCAAAATGTCCTAATCAGCTGAAAACACATCTAATCATTTATTTATATTATTTTGAAAAGCTTCAATGACTCCTCTCATGTGTATTGCCTAGAATGTTTTTCATGATTTTATTTTCTATTTTGGATAGGCTGCTACTGAAGAGGAGAACAGCCATGGCCAAGCAAATGGTCTTCTCAATGCTCCTAGCCTTGGGTCACCAATTCGTGTCCGCTCAGAGATTACTCAGCCAGACAGAGATATTCCATTGGTGCGAAAGTTACGTTCCATCCACAGCTTTGAGCTGGAAAAACGTCTGACCCTGGAGCCAAAGCCAGACACTGACAAGTTCCTTGAGACCTGGTATAAAATAGTTTTTCTTTCTTTTTAAAGCCTCTGAGGTACCATTATTATTGTTGTTGTTATGGTATATTTCTGTTATATAAAGTCTTTCAAATAAGAAATTCTTGTATTTTTGTAACACTGATTCTATTAAGCTCTAATTTTAACCCATGTTTTTAAATATTATTCTGATTCTTAATTATTATAAATTCCATAGCATAATCTTTGGCTTTGGAAGCTGATCAGTAGGAGCTGATAACTTCCTAACACTAGGTACAAGTTAAATTAACATTTTTACAGTATCATTGTTTGGAAAGTAATCTCTTCCAAACAACAGTGTAGCACTGGAGAGGGCATGATAAAGATGGCATTAGGCAGAGATGAGGGGAATACCTGAAGGAGGGGAAAAAGTAATTTATACACAAGGGACAGGCAATTCAATTCACTTTAGTGGAGACCTTCTAGGAGTAAGATACTGTAGGAAAGTAGATACCAATAAGTATAACATGCTTGCCTTCAAGAGTTCACAATCTACGTAAACAGAAAGGAAGGCGAAACTTTAGAGAGCTATACATAGGTAAAGACTGTAGTGCATGACTCTGAGGCACATTATCCCTATGACAAATTTTGGTAATAGAAGACAGAAATGAAAAAAGTTTGAGACATATCTATGAATTATAGAAGGCTTCAACAGTATTCACAGTATTAAGACCTGATTTCCTTTAGTAGTAGTTACACCCTTCAGTGGTACATCTCTGGTGGTTACTATTGGTAGTGAAATACTAGGTTAAAGGGACCATGAATTTGACTAATATGATAATTACTGTGTACCAAGACAATTCAGCCACTTCTGGCCTACTCCAATCTAGCTTCCATTTTAAACAATCCTTCACATATGTGTGTTCTTCCTCACGTGGTAGTCATTCATAGCTATGTTATGTAAGCACATATCTACATGATGCCATGATCAAAAGGATGAATAGGGGCATTGGTTTAAACATTTTGAATTGTGGCTCAGATTGAGAATAAATATCAAAGTACAGTAGGGATAAAAGCTTAGATCAATAAAAAGTTGGTCTAACAAAAGAAGGGAACTAAAAAGGGCCTTGGTGAGGAAAGAACTGAGCTCCATCTTCTGAAGCAGGATATGACAGGTGGAGAAGAACATTATCAATGCTGTGAAACTTTCCCTATGCTTTATCCATCTTTTTTTCTCTCATCTTTGTGTCAATATAGTTCTCTATAGAGCTTACGTATTATATAATGAATGTTTCCTTAGGATAATTAAGTAACTTCTTTCTATTTCCTTAAGCCTGGAGAAAATGCAGAAAGATACCAGTGCAGCAAAAGAATCTATTCTCCCTGCTCTGCTTCATAAGCCTTGCATTCCTGCTGTGTCCCGTACTGACCATATCTGGCACTATGATGAAGAATATCTTCCAGATGCCTCCAAGCCTGCTTCTGCCAACACCCCTGAGCAGGGAGATGGTGGTGGCAGCAATGGATTTATAGCGGTTAACCTGAGCTCTTGCAAGCAGGAGATTGATTCCAAAGAATGGGTGATTGTGGACAAGGAGCAGGACCTTCAAGATTTTAGGACAAATGAGGTTGTAGGACATAAAACAACTGGAAGTCCTTCTGATGAGGAGCCTGAAGTGCTTCAAGTCCTGGAGGCATCACCTCAAGATGAAAAGCTCCAATTAGGTCCTTGGGCAGAAAATGATCATTTAAAGAAGGAAACCTCAGGTGTGGTCTTAGCACTTTCTGCAGAGGGTCCTCCCACTGCTGCTTTGGAACAATATACAGATAGACTGGAACTCCAGCCTGGAGCTGCTAGTCAGTTTATTGCAGCGACACCCACAAGTCTAATGGAGGCGCAGGCAGAAGGACCCCTTACAGCGGTAAGAAATTTGTTCTTGTTATGATTCTCTGTTATCCACTTAAGGTGCTATTGAGAAAGGACTAACAGTTGATCAACTGAGATTCTTCTGTAGAAGCCTAAATTTTGCAAATGGTTATAGGGAGTGATTTTGTACTAAGTTCTACAATCAACTCTCCAACATGAAATTTTTCAAAAAGTGAGACCTTTTATTATATGAAACTCAATAAATGAAGCATCATTATAACCTATTTTTTTAAATAACATTTTAAATTAGATTACAAGCAGTAGCTATCTATGTGTGTTTATATATAATACAATTTTTTAACGTTTCTAGTAATTTTTACTATACATTTACGGAGGAAGGCATATATTTAATCATTCGTGGTTTGTTCTTTACATGGTACACTGTTGCTAGTCCTGAGACTTTAATATTCTCTCTCTTTCATAGCATCCACCCAAGAATTTCTCATATTTTATATTCCCGTTAAACAGTCATTTTCTAACATTGATGGCCACTGTTCAAAATGCAGAGTCCCAGGCTGGCTCACTTCTAAAACTTTTGTTTTAGTAGGTCTGGGGAAGAGCCTGCACAGGAATCTTCATTTTAACAAGCAGGTAGAGGCGGCATTTATGATACAGGTCTTCTGCAAAGGAAACTTTTGAGGAACCACTATTGTTTATTTTCAGTTTTGGGCATTCAGCTGGAGAATCCTGTTACCCTGTTACCAGTAAGCAGTGATGCCCCCAGTGACTGTGTGAGGGGGAGCCCCAGAAAAGCCACAGATGGTCAAGCAAAGCCTTGAAAAGCCCCAGGCTAAATAAGGAACTGTGAACACAAATCTTAGGTACCCACAAGTACATCTCTCCTTATGTGATGAGAGCTACCAGGTTTTCTTAAATTCCATAATCATCTAGCAGTCCCTGCCAACTCACCGGAAACTGCATTGTTCCCCAAACTGAAATGTTTTCTGTTGGAACACAATTCCACATCAGGTGCAAAACAGTGGGAAAAGATACCAATGAAAATTTATTTTGTGTACCATTCTGAGAAATTTGCCTGTGCTCCAAAATAGGGAAATAAAGGCCTGCCTGCCTCTTGACCAATCAGAGTTAGTTAATAGGTCTTTTCCTCTTTCCCGGGACTGCTTTGTGTAGTTAGGCAGATTGTTTGTGGCATAAAGGGATTTAGCCAGGAGACAAATTGGGGCTGAAGTCTAGCCCAGACTTTGCTTTCCAGACTATGCATCTTGGCACAGGGCCGTTTCCTTTCGGAAGGGCATTCTTTTCCAAATTGTACAAAGGTATCATGTGGGCTAGAGGTAGGTAACTACTAAGTCCTTCCCTCCCTGCTCCATCCTTTTTCCCACCCCACCTTTCCTCTTTCCAGCCATCCCCTCTTTCTTCCCAAGTTCACATTCTTTTTTTTTTTTTTTTTTTTTTTT